ATTTGATCATTGCAGATGCTCACAAGCAAACCCTTCACGATGGTCCACAGCTTATGCTGTGCTATATTCAAAGGAAGTATTGGATTTTGGGAGCTAAGCAGCTCATCAAGTCTTATGTACGAAAATGTGTGACTTGTATTAAGAATACTTCATTGACACAAACCCAATTAATGGGACAGCTGCCCTCGGCGAGAATAACACCTACAAGGCCCTTTAAATGCAGCGGGGTTGATTATGCCGGCCCTATACAAATTCGAACAACCAAGGGTAGAGGGCATAAATCGCATAAAGGGTATATATGTTTATTCGTGTGTATGGTGACACGCGCGATCCACTTAGAAGTCGTAACTGACTACACAGCGGAAGGATTTCTGAAAGCCTACCGTAGATTCGTCTCTAGACGCGGAATATGCTCAGAAATTTGGAGTGATAACGCCACTAATTTCGTCGGAGCATCCAGCGAACTCAAACGTCTTTTTGAGACCGAAAGGAAGTCGATGCTAATAGAAGTAGCTGAGACATTAGCAACCAATGGTTGTAACTGGCATTTTATTCCCGCCCGTTCGCCTAATTTCGGTGGGTTGTGGGAGGCTGGCGTAAAATCCGTCAAATATCATCTGAAACGGGTAATTGGACAGTCCATCTTCATCGCCCACCAAGGACAGCTGTGCTTGTAACCATTACAGAGAGATATAATATATGAAAGACTGTAAAAATAATATATATATATATATATATATATATATATATATTCCATTATATTATATTATATATATATATATATTCCATTATATTATATATATCTGTGATCATAGATCAGACAATGATAAGTGCATTTTTGCTCAATACGACTTATTAAGTGATTTTATTTAGATCTGACCTAAAGGACAATGCGCTTTTTATTGATCAGAATATGACAAAAGCACACTTATCAACTTATGATCAAAAATTACTTGGTTAGCGGGAAACATGTCATAACGTGTCGTGTCACTATTGTTTCGCTTACCGCACATTACATAGTTTATTGTTAGTTTTCGTTATTACGCCGGTAAAAGAACATTAAGATAGGTTATAATTACTGTTAAAATGATGAGTGCTCGCTGTAAGAAGTTGTTAGAGTTAGCTATGAGACAAGAAGATCCAGAGGTATGTTTATCATTATTTTGATTGTTATTTTATTCAAATCGCGTCAGTGTGCATTGCGAGAGTAAGTAGGCATTTTAGTGAGCAATATTGTAATAGTTGATATGACTGTTTGTGCCTAGTATATTATATAAAATACTGGCACCCGGGCCTAACGTTGTTTTTTTTTTCATTTTAGGATTTAGCTGTGAAATAATGTATGAGAGAACGTACTCCATTAGCTCAGAAGGATATCTTGCAATCTTTGCCCGGCCCGTCGGGTAGTCAAGTAGCTCAGCAGGATATTTTGTCATCTCTGCCCGGTCCGTCAGGTACTGCCATAGCTCAGCAAGATGTTTTGCAATCTCTACCCGGCCCATCAGGTAATCGAGCTAATAGTTCTGATCGTACTTCTCTCGGTGAAGATTATAGTTCTGATGACGATGTGCAGGATTGTAATTGGTTACCTGCTGGTACACATGTAGAACACGTCTCATCATCGTCATCTAGCAAGACATCTACCCCTAGAAGCATTAGAAGCATTGCGGTCCCAGCATTGGTTTCTCAAACACAGGATGACGTTAGAAGAAAAAGGAAGCGTGGTGTCGGTATGATGCAAAGAAAACTCCGTAAAGAAAGAACAGAAAAAATTAAAAAGGGGGAAGAATACATAAATCAAGCTGGGAAAAAAATATTGGGTAAATCTGTAGGTGTACTAAAAGAATGCAGATTAAAATGTAAAACAAAATTTACGAATACACAATTACAAAGAGTTTTTGCGGATTATCGCGCTATGGAAACAAGAGATATGCAACGTTTACATTTGAGTAACCATATATTATTAACACCGCCAATTAGAGTTAAACAGGTTGAAATCAAAAAGAAAAGAGAAGTAGCTGCAGAGTACTTTATTGAAAATGAAGGTAATTTAGTAAAAGTTTGTCAAAACTGTTTTCTTAACGTGTATGGTGAGAATCGTGGTTTTGTGAATGGCATAATTGACAAGAAGAAAAAGTCAGCTACAGGTATCATTGGACGGGATGAAAGAGGCAGACATGAGCCAAAAATTAAACATTCAAATGAAGCAATTGATTATGTACGTAATCATATTTCTAATTTCCCTGCATACGAAAGCCACTATTCAAGACGACACACTACGAAAAAATACCTGGAGACTGGGTTGAATTTACAAAAAATGTATAACTTATACCTTGACCAACATACCATGGACAACATAACTACAAAAATAGTCAGCCTTTCTACATATAGTAATATTTTTAAGACATTCAATTTAAAATTTAAAAAGCCACATAACGATACTTGCCATACTTGTGATACATTTGTAGCAAAAATAAAAATTACAATAAATGACTCTGAGAAAACGAGACTACATGACGAACATGTGTCTCATCAGGATAAAGCAAATTTCCATTACGAATGTAAATCTTTCGATAAACAACGTGCCAAGTTATCAGGAAATACTATCGTTGTCGCTGTGTGTGATTTACAGCAGTGTCTCGCTACACCATACTTAAATACTAGTGTAGCATTTTATAAAAGGAAGCTATGGACTTTTAATTTCACAGTCAGAAATTGTAACACAGGGAAAACTACTTGCTTCATGTGGCATGAAGCTATCGCGCAACGTGGTGCTGACGAAATAGCATCTTGCCTAAAAATGTTTATAATGAGTTTGCCCGAAGAAATAGAACACGTTATTATTTATTCAGATACATGTCCCGGGCAAACCCACAACAATACATTACCTGTTGTATATAACTACATACTTACGCAGAAAATTGGTTTGAAGACTATAGATCACAAATTTTTAGTTCCTGGTCACACACATTTAGAGTGTGATGCTGACCATGCCTCAATCGAGCGTGCCAAGAAGAAATATAATGGAAGAATTTCAATTCCAAATGACTGGTACATGCTTGTGAGAATGGTCAGCAGTAAGTTCACTGTGATAGAGTTGTCACAAGATGACATTTTTGCATTTTCGAGCATTCTAAAGCAGTCGCTTATAAAGAAGACCAAAGATCAGAATAACGATCCTTTTCTGTGGCGTAATATATTTTGGATACGTGTCGAGAAAGAACATCCTTGTTTCTTTTCTTTTAAATATTCACTGCGAGTGGAAGACGAGTTTAAAATATGTGACATGAAGAGAAAAGCCAGAGCCAGTCGAAATAATCAGCCTTTAATGGATATTCGTAAGGCGTACAATCGGCCATTATTAATAAGTAAAGAAAACCATAAGGATATTTTATCTTTATTACAGTACATTGATCCAGTGTACCATGATTTCTATAAGAATGTAATAAAGTCTGACAATGACGTAGTAGACACATCACATATTAGTGATTATAATTCCGATTCTGAATAGAAATTACTATTTTATTACGTCTATTTTCTTTTTTCTTCTTATTGCTTCGAGTGCAATTTTATATGCCAAATATTCTGCATTATCATTTTAAATTTAAATAAAGTATTTTTCTCATATTCGTCTTTCATTTATGATCATAACACGATAACTACCTACTTCTTTTGATCACAGTGTGACAAGTGCAACCATTCTTTAAAAAAAAAAAACAATACGTGAATACTACGCATTCCACAATGAATTATAAGTATTTTTACAAATCAGTAACACATTTCCTTAATTAAAAAAAAAAATATTTTCAATATTGCGAGTGTCTCATATTTTAATAGTAGCTTCAAGATTTCTTAATAATTTAATTGCTTCTCCTGTAAAGTAATGAAATTGTATTTATCATATTCTGACCTATGGCCACAGATATATATATATATATATATATATATTCCCTTATTATTTCCGTTATATGTAATAAATATATAATATTAAGATTCATATTTTACAATTACGTTTCTAATACTTGTTAATACCTAACTATAATAATAATATTAATATATAGTATTTGTTTTTTTTTATCTTGTTAATACCTAATTTGGAACCGAAATGAAGACTCAACATTTAATACGTTTCGAGTCGTAATTATAGTAACACTTCCTCTCAAATCGACCGTCCTTATTGTTATTTTAGTTAATTGTTATATATATTACTTAATTGTTCGAACTTGCACTTTGATTAAACTTACATTCACTTTGAAAATGTCCTAGTTTATTACATTTATAGCACTTTACCAATTTTTTATTAAAGTTTTTCTTAGCAACAAATGCAGTATTAATGATATATTCGTATCGTTGGAATATTCACTTATTCCCGTCGGGTAGGATGAGCCTGATTTAGATTTCTTGAGATATTATGTTTTTATTTAGATTAATTATGCGTGTTCTGTTCAGTATGTACCCTGCTTTACAATATCAATTTCGTCACATTGATTCTCCATTTCGTTACTTATCAGTTTATTAACAAATGGCAAATGTACATTTTTTCTGAGTATGACCCGCATACTTAAGCTTTTGTGATGGCCCTTCATGCGTTAACTGACAGCTAAAACTGTTGAAATTGCAATAAAATATATGGCTTGTACAATGGTCTATGCTCTACTCTATACTCAATGGTATCTGTGGTAGCTAGCTAATGTCGTCGGCTGTGTGTGAATCCTTTTAGAGATAAAATAAAGTGTTCTCAGTCAACTTCGTTTTGATTCCTCTACAAATCCTAACAGGTTATGGGCCCAGAGACTCTGTCCTGCCCCATAACTCTGTCTCAGGGATATTCAGAGGAAATCGAAACAGTGACCGCGTGTTCGAGAGGTTAGAATTGTTAGCGTGAGTTTCGCCGGCAAAGCGCGTCGCGGCTGAGGGATTACGCTGCTAGGTGGAGGCAGAGTAATAGACTTGTTCAGCGGACGCGGCATTTTTCGAAGAAGTACACAAAATGCGCAACCATGGAGGCTATGGTTGGAGCGGGGGCCAGCGAAACGAATTTGTTTAAATTTCAAGTATCGGTGCTGCTGAGAGGCATGGATCTTTTCTCAGTAGTAGATGGCTCGCAAAAGAAACCTGAAAAGGATGTTGATGATGAGTGGAAGAGGAAAGATGCTAAGGCACAAACCCTTATTGTAATGAGGTTATGTGAGAGTACTATGGTTCATATCCTATCATGTCAGACAGCTGCAGAGATGTGGAATAAGCTCCACAGTGTGTATGAACAGAAGTCGAGTACTAGTTTACATATTTTAGCACAGCGCTTCTTCCAGTTCAAATTTGAGGAGGGCTCGGACATGGCTTCATTTCTGGCTAGGCTTCAGGAGCTGAAAGCTCAGTTGAAACAAACTGGTAAAGAATTATCAGATAAGTTAATGATAACAGGGACTTCATCGTATATTTATTAGCCTTTGTTTTTAATTTACAATAAATGCATTTCAGAGGGGGTGTTTCCCGCTGTCTGGAAACGTGCCAACGTTACTCCCGTACACAAAGGTGGATCTAAGAGTGACGTTGAAAATTACCGACCGATATCAATTTTGTCCGCTTTGTCAAAGCTCTTTGAAAGACTTGTACACGACGATATATACCCAGCGTTTCACAACATAATCATACCACAACAACATGGCTTCGTCAAACAACGATCAACTACCACAAATCTTTTAAATTTTACCAGCTTTCTATTTGACAACATTGACAATCGAGTTCAAGTGGATGCTGTTTACACTGATTTTCAGAAGGCCTTTGACAAAGTGGATCATGAAATATTATTAAATAAAATTGCATATAACGGAATACGCGGCAACCTGCTCAGATGGTTTTGCTCTTATGTTACGAACCGCTGTCAAAGGGTCGTGATTAACGGTTTCCAATCAAACATTATAAAAGCCACTTCCGGAGTTCCACAAGGCTCAATTCTTGGCCTGTTATGGCTTGGGCTGTTTATTATTTTTATAAACGACATAAATCAATGTTTTCTTAATACTAAATACCTCCTGTATGCTGATGACCTTAAAGTTTATAATCCCATTACAAATTACGAGGATTGTGCCCTTTTTCAACAGGACTTGGGCCGACTGACACCCTACTGTTATAATAACAAACTTTACTTAAGCTTACCCAAGTGTAAGTACTTAAATTACACAAAAAATAAAAATGTTATTAGTTTTAACTACAAACTTTGTAATATTCCCCTTAGTAAGGTCACTTCTATAACAGATCTCGGTGTGACACTCGACTCGAAACTCTGCCTAGATATTCATACTGACAACATAGTCAACAAAGCAAATAAGCTTTACGGGTTCATTATGAGATCTACTCACGACTTCAAAAGACCTTGCTCCTACTTGCATCTATATAGGTCATTGGTTCGCTCACAATTGGAGTATGCAGTGCCGATCTGGAACCCCTTCTACAACAAATATGTAGATATCATTGAAAATGTCCAACGTAAATACTTACGTGCAATGCACTATAGGTGCCACGGTTTCTATTTGCCGTATAATGAATTGCTAGTTAAATATAAACTATTGACTCTTAACTCGAGACGAAAGTACATTGAGGCTTTAACGCTGTATAAAATCGCAACCAACAAATTTAACTGCACTGAACTAAACAATATGCTATGCTATACAGTCCCCAGGAGGTCTTACAGACGTAAACTATTTTCAGTGAACAAATGTCGTACCAACACTGGTATCCGCTCGCCGATGCGTCGCATGTTAGATACTTACAACAAAATATTTATTAATGTTGATATTTTCGCCAGCTCAATGAGCAAGTTCAAAGGCCTTTTGCTTAAAGACTTAGGCTAAAATAACATAACCGCATTGACAATAGTCCTTGTTCTAAATTTCTAAATTACTACTAAGAAACTAATGTATGAGTATTCCAACCTGTACAAATGTAAGCGTGTTTAATACTGTATTCCATACTTATCTTTGCTAATTTGTGAATAACGTTGCTGGCTACAATATAGCATAAGTGCTATATTTTTTAGATTATTTTGTAAACTGTATGTTGTAGCTGTTTGTTATTCCTATTCAATATAAAAAAAAAAAAAACTAAAGTTCTGTCCCTGCCATCAACTTTGGATCATTTTGTGACAGCTTGGGAATCAGTCGAGCCGGCTCGGCAAACCTATGATGAGTTGGTTGCCAGACTCCTAGTGGAAGAGAAGAGGATACAATCAAGAGCCAGTGATGGTGAGAGTGTAGCATTATATGCAGGCCAAAAGCCAGTGAAAAAATGTTAAGTGGAATGGAACGTACAATGTAATAGAGGAGACAAAAATGCGATGACGTAATGTACCCTCTCTCTCTTCTCAGTTATGGCGGAATTATATACGTGTAGTGTCTAAATCATTAAAATAAAACTCCATTAAGAATATTGCGTATTGCTTTTACTTAAACATCCTACAGGTTATGGGCCCAGGCACATAATTAGATTGGATGAAAGTATACGCAAGAAGTCATTACTGGCAAAAATCATCAACGTGAAAAATAAGGCACGTGCGGCGTCGTGTGCTTGGAGGTTAGAATTTTGCCGGGAAAGAAATTACTTGTTCCTGGTTGGAACGAGGCAAGACGGAGTAAAATCAAAAAAACACAATGGACTCCTTATTACACGGACAGGGAGCAATAAAATTGGAAGGTTCCAAGAATTGGAATATATGGCAGTTCCAGATTAAGGTTTTGCTGCGAGGTCAAGGCTTGTATGACGTAGTAAACGGTACTAAGATAAAACCGGAAAATGATGCCGACCGTACTCGATGGGAAACTAGCGATGCAAAAGCCCAGACATTGCTAGTTACAAGAATGTCAGAAGATGTCATGGTACATATTTTATCATGTGAAACCTCGGCCGAGATGTGGCGAAAATTACTAAGTGTCTATGAACAAAAATCAGAGACGAGCATTCATATTGTTCAGCAAAGATTCTTTAAATTTAAATATGAAGAAGGTGCAGAGATGTCTACTTTCTTATCAAAGATACAGGAAATTCAGAATCAGTTGAAACGGCTTGGTGAAAATATATCGGAAAAGCTCGTAATAACGAAAGTTTTGATGTCGTTACCAGATCAATACAAACACTTTGTATCTGCTTGGGAATCGGCACCTGACGATAAGCAGACATACGATAATTTAATAGCCAGGTTGCTAATAGAAGAGGAAAGGATAAAGGAGAAAAGCGGCGGTGAAAGTGCGTAATCACCCTCTTAAGCCTTTTTAGTTTTTTAGTTAAGTTAGTGTGACGTAGTGCAGTGAGTGCTACTCTTGAAGAACAAGTACAAACCGGCGTAGCCGGTCTAGAGATATTACTAAAACAAATATTAAAACTTATGTACAAGATATTTACTTTCTCATCCTAATATCTATAAAAACACAGAAATACAAAAACAATATGAAAATAAAATAAAACACAACATAAAAACAATATGTACAGCATTAGTTAGATTATGTACAACATAAAAACAAGAAAATCATATTTTGCACTTTTACGACAAACAATATAAAAATAACACGTGACTGTGTTACATCTAGATGTACATAATTACACTACTTCGTAGAAAAAATATAAAAAAAAACTAACAATTAGTTTTAAAAGAAAATTAATTTATTTTTTTATGTGGGTAGAATTAGGTGGGTTCGTTACCCAAGCCCCTATCTGCACTGACGCGCGGAATCTTACGCTTCCCTGGGTAGTCCTTAGCGATCAGCCAACAAGCTTCGAGTGATGTGGTACAGCCAATAATCCGTTGACCCTGTGGCGTTGGCCGGAACTAGGATAGGCCGAAATCAGCCGATGATAATCACCAAGGGTGAACTTAAAACCCTGAAATCAGGTTTGGGTGGAACATTAACACTCTGTCCAAATTCGCACCGTGACTGCAACATAAGGGTACACAATGGTAAGCGATTGATTCTCTCACATTCAGGCAGAAAATAGATTTCTAAGGTGCGGCAGTCACGGTTTAAAGCAAGCGGAAGGACTAAGAGAAATTAAAAATAAGAAAAAAAACATAATAAGTACAAATAAAAATAAAATAACAAATACAGGCAAAAACACATTACTAAGTTATTAAGCATGTATGTAGGTAGGCACAGCAACATAATGCAGGTGATGGTGCGCTTTTATTCATGTGTAGAAACAATAACCAAGCACTAATAATACATAGGTTTTAGATGGTAACTACCTACGGCTAATTACATTTTGAATGATAGCGGTAACTATTACATATGTGGTTATACATACATTACATATAAAGGTAATAAAAGCACAACTTACCCAGACACGGGGTTTATAATATTCACTAGTGTTTTAGTTTTATATTTACAATTTTTAGTTGATACGGTAGCAGGAAAATAATAACTGAATAATAAAATTAACGGAATAATAAAATTAACGGAACTTGAATCCGGTTGTTGAGTACCTATTTCTGACAAGCTCACAGCAAGACAACGATGCGTAGAATGTTTCTCGTCGCGCGCACAGAGCTCGCGGACTCCCTTCACTTTCACCGTTCCCCCCGCCCGGCGCCCACGCCCCGCCATCGCGAGTGCGGCGGACGGTTTCACTATATAGAAGTAATGGAGCCACTGACAGTTTGTTTGTAAAATAATATTTTTAATAATTGTATTTAGTGTCTAATTTTAAGACTAGGTTTAAGTTTTATTTAGGATTTAAAATTAATTAGCTATAAGTTATGGGATCAAGCTCGTAAGTGAATAACTGAAACATTAATGCATAGCATTGTAACAACTGGAAAAAAATGAAAAATGGTTATTGTTGCTATCGGTACTTTACGCCATATTACGATTATTTTGGATAAAATTTTCGTAAATAAGAAAATTATAAGTCTCTAATTATAGTTTACTCAATAATATACAATAAATAAGAAAGATTATGAAATATATTACTGGGTAATAGCTAAATTACTTCGAATAATTATATTTTACAACATAAAAACTACAGTTATATTCACAAGGCACACGCCATTTTTGGCCGCGTTTGACTTTCAAGTGTTTTTTTGTTGTAATTTATACAACAAAGATAACAACTGTATATATTGAAATAAACTAGATTTCTTGGCAAGTATTTTGATATAGGTTATGAAATATATTACTGGGAACTCGAATAATTGTATATCGTATCAAAATAGACAATAGACGACGCCATTTTGGCCGTGATTGGATGATTTATTTGTAAATATCAAATTTAAGTTTATAATTATAGTTTACTTAATAATATACAATAAATAAGAAAGATTATGAAATATATTACTGGGTAATAGCTAAATTACTTTGAATAATTATATTTTACAACATAAAAACTACATTTATTCAAGTTCAAGTGTTTTTTTGTTGTAATTTATACAACAAAGATAATAACTATACATATTGAAATAAACTAGATTTCTTGGCAAGTATTTTGATATATAATAGATAAAGTTTACTTACGAGTTTCCGTCGCTATCCATTTTCGCAAAATCACTTGATGTCACTAACTTGCGCTCTCAAGCGAACGGAATGAAGTTTGTGGTCACTTTGTCTTGATTGGACAAGTAGTTACTTTTTTTGTTTTAGCTAACAAGCAATCACAATTTAGAATGTAAAAAGAGTAAATACACGTTCTAATGATATAGCATAGTCCTATTGGTGGGAATGTATTAGTATCGAAATAAATTGTTGAACATGGCGCTGTCGTCGCGTCACAACTGTTGTGACAGAGACGCTACCGCGTAATAATTTGGTGTCACAACTGTTGTGACGGGCGACGCGGACGCGTCGGAGGTTAAGAAAAATCGTTATTGGGAATCGAGATATAAGTACTACGTACTAGAGGAGCTACATCAAATATTTGCATTGTTCTATTTTTCGAAATTTAAAGCTTTAGTTCGCTGCAGCGCTAAAACAATAACAAGGTGTCTAAATCATAACTCAGCGCAAGCAGCGCAAGCGCAAGCGCAAGCAGCGCTAGATTTGCTACAAAAGCATAATTTTTTCCCGGAAAAAAGGTCATAAGCGCCATGAATATCACGGCGCTTAAGCGTTTACTTCAAAAAAGTGCAACAACATGTATTCCCTATAGACTATGACAGGAGTAGTAAAGAATGGGCGACTCAGGTATTTTACCTAAATGGTTCAAAAAAATAAAACATTTGTTTTTGTGTGATGTTTTTTATTTAATTTCCTTTAAACAATTTTATTTTAGTCATCTTTTGCCTTTTTGATGAATAATCAATACTTTGATCGGTTTTCGCTTCATGTTTTAAACGAATAGTAGTGTATTTATTAATAATTGCCCGAATCAAATGTATTCTGTGATTTAATGTGCTTGGTTGACAAAAAGAATGTTGAACTAAAGACGTAAATACCTCCGTCTGAATAAAATGTTCTAAAGTTTTTACAGTAATATAACTGAAATAGTATTTCGTGGAGAGGCTAATTCCACCACTTTGCTATAAGTTTTCGTATAATAGTTTCCGTGATTGCACATATTTTGTATACATCTTCTGAGGAATATGACAATCCACCCATATCTTTAATAGTTATAAGTTTATGATGTGGCAGCTTTTCTGTTGTTGTTAAGGTATCCACACATACTTCACATTTTAACGACTTTGTAAGATTTCGAGCAATGTAGCCAGATATATACCCGACTATCAACTGAGAACCGAATGGAATTTGTTGGGAGCTGAGAGTGTCGGAAAAAATGTTACAGTTGTGCTCAGCTTCTATATCAGATTCTAAACAACTTGTGGCTGTCAATACTTCGTATTCTTCATTATCGTGTCTGTTTAAGGGTGTAGTACTATTAATAACATCTGTTGAAGAATTGCATAGAATGTTCATATTATCTAATGGAATACAATTACCCGTGAATGATGAACGAAGTTCTAAATGGTTCAGTGTTTTTTTGTAAGCAGCTCGAAATTGTAATACATTGGGGTTATTGTTGTACTCGCCATGCTTTCTTATGACCCCAAAGAAAAGTTCAATATGATCTTGGCTAAGGCGGTATGTAGAAATATATGTCATGTATTTCTTTTCCTCTACAACATGTTGATACAGCGTTTTTAGAGATTCTGTGCAAATTAATGGTCCTATAAATCCCGTTTTATTAGCTGAGTCAACAATTTTCTTTTTCGAAATAGACAGTGTAATACGTGGGTCTAAATCTTTTCTTTTTACAATTCTTCTACATTTGATGTGAAATTCCAAATTTAATATGTACTTTTTTATTTTGGTTAGAAAACTAAATACTTCAGAGTTATTTATGGCATCGATTGGTCGCTTAAACCCATAAAAGTAACACTTTCTTGAATTCATTGTGTCAAAAAAATCATTGAACGTTTCTAAAAATAGTATTGTTGCCGAAGAATCTGCAAATTGTGAATACTTTAATTCCTCATCACATAGCTGCAATGCCTTGGCTACACTTTTACTTAAGAGTTGAGTGGCCAGGCGGACTTTCATAATTTGGTTACGGAAGTAGACATGTCGTGGTGTAAGTTTGTTGGCAAACCTAAGACCATCTTTCATTTGCAGTTTATTAAGGTTTATCAATAACTGCCACTTTATTTTTTTGCCATTTTGGTCAAATAACAATCTCTTATTTTCGAAAGAGTTCCTTATTAATTTGATAACGTGACATGGATCAAGAAATATGCACACTTTATCCTGAGTGGACGGGTGTGGAAAATGGGTCACAAAACTATTTGGGTTAGTCAGTTTACACCCTAAAATTTCTGCAGCCGACAAATTCGCAGGGCATCCATCAAATGTCATGCTTACGACTGTAACTCCAGCATCATGACATTTATGTAAGCAAGTAGTAATTAAATTAGCTTTTGTTTCCGCAGTTATACCTGATATCAAAAAATAGCCGACAGGAAGTTTCCAATTTTCAGTCAGCGATACTAACATAAATACTAATGCCTGTGATGCGACTTGATCATCTTCATCACCTACTTGAGGACCAGCACCAAAATTCACAGCACCCAGCTTCCGGTGTTTGTGAAAAAGCATTTGCCTTCGAATAGCCATCTCGTCGAATACTAGATTACATATCAGAGGTTGCTGACTTTTAGTGTTTTTTTTCTTCAGAGCTTCAAACGATGCATTTGTAAATCCAGGCTCACCATCAATCGTTCCATACCAGCGACTGAGAGTTCTTGTGTGTGGTAACATATTTCCATATATATCTCTCACATATTTGTATGCAGCTGGCGAGTAGTAATGAAGCGTTAATGCAAATTTACGTAATACTGTAAATTTGTCTGTTATTCTTTTTTTAGCCGACGTTAAGTTGCGTATTTGCCGTTTCAGAATTATTTTTCTTGGGCTATCAAAAATTGACTTTGACTCACTAACAGGTTCTGAAATCGACTCGATGGCTCCATGGGCAGAAACTTCTTGCTAAAACCAACAAAACATATGTTAGTGATGGCTTAGTGTAATGTAGTCATTGTCAACATACGAAGAATTAAAAATAATAATAATTTTAATTTATATTATTACTTACATCATCATATGGCACAGCAGACTTCTTTAGAAAATGCCTTCCCCCTTTCGTTATATATTTATCATCCTCACGAAAATGCAAAGAACATATATAACTATGATCGGATGGTAGCCAGGTCTCTTCACAGCGGTTGTTTTGGACAAACTTAATCCATTTTTCTCTTTTGTCATTACTTGGACGTGGAAATATAAATAAAAAAGTATATTGGTAAACATAAATGTATAACATATTGACTAAATAAACATAAAAAGTATTTCATTTTATCGAAAATGAATTAAAATTAGTAGTAAATTAAAGTAGTATCCGAGAGGATTTCCGCACAGAAAAAAAAGGGTTAGGTTTATCAATATTGTCAAATTAGTTTTATCTTTTCATAGCTAAATATTTAAATCAGCATTTAAAACAGATAACCATATTACTGGTGTCATGTCGGTCTTATGTACCTACACTGCACTCTGATGTTATTTAGTCTATGACAAATAATGCAAAATGGCGCGTGGTAATTAAATTATTCGTATTTTTTGTAAAACAATGAAATTAGATTACTTACCGATGAAGAGTTATTCCTTTACACTTTGCAGTGTTCCTTGAGTTATTACTGCAATACCTCAATACACACCAAGGCATTTTTTTATGATTTTTACCGTGTTTTTGTTTATTAATAGTCAAAAGTACTACACGCGAAAGAGCTAGCAAGCGACTGAATGAGTTGCGGCGCGATCGCCGCAGTTGAACGAGACAAAGTAAGGATTTGTGGTGTCTTCTCTAGTACGTAGTACTTATATCTCGATGTTATTGGGACATTAAAAAAATGAATGGAAGATATTTTATAAAAAAATCCAAATGCTATTTATTTTATGATTTGACGAAAATATTATTATTATTTATAAAAAAAAGATTCTATTAAATACTAAACATAGATGTAAACATGATTAAAAATATGTGCCATAATTGTAAAATTAAACGAACTTACCTTAAGTGAAGTTCTATGGCAATTATATGAGATGCTTAGTCCGAGACAACCTTCATATAATCACTAGTAGTTTCACATTCCTCGCATTGTGTCATCGCGTGATTCAGAGAGAAGCGAATGCGACAAAAAATCCACACCATGGCAACACTATACTTATACGTCATTATTTTAGAGCTAACCTGGAAAAAACGAGAATCTACCACTCCCAGCTATAGATATAGGGGTGAATATCAGCAATTATGATGAGTATTCGGGATGGGAGGGTGTCTATTGTCTCGGACTAAGCATCTCATATAATTTCCATAGAACTTCACTTAAGGTAAGTTCGTTTAATTTTACAATTATATGAAATGCTTAGTCCGAGACAACCTTCATATAATCACTAGTAGATATTTAGAGGCTGGGAGTTGTAGCGGGAACACTATATTACAATAACTGAAAAAACCACATACAATGAATCAAAAAACACATGTATTTTTTAAAAACAAATTACTACATAAAAACATAAAACAACAGTAGTATTTATCTCCTTCCCAGATGATTACACAAAATCAGTTAAAATTTAATCCGCGTTACACACAGCCCTCGCAAATGCATAATTATCATTTGATTGACTAGTTAAAGGCCTATTGTAGTCCTTTGCAAACACTTCAGAACCTTCAGACCAACCTGCGGTTTTAAAAATAGTATCTAATGTAACACCTGCTCGACGGGCTAAGGAAGTAGAGGCATGTCGCGTAGAATGAGGTGTGAATTTTTTAACATCCACACCACTATCTGACATGATTTGTCTTATCCACCTACTAATTGTTTGGTTACTGGCGCTCCGATGAGGTTTTTTGCAGCACAGAAGCAACTTTTCGGTATTTTTAGAATTTCTTAACATTTTAGTTTGATTAATGTAGGACTTTAATGTAACTATTGGACAGATCTCTGGTTTGGACTGAAAAAATGGGAGTACAATAATGGTCTGAACCTTGGATGGCACTGAAGTTTTTAATAAGCTAGATATTTTTTATATTAACTCCTGAGTCAGTAAATTCTATATTACTTAATGCGATTGCAGCTAATGTTTGTATTCTTTGTGCACTAGTTAGGGCTAGCAGTATAACTAATTTTTTGGTTAATTTTTCTAATCCTAAAGTTTCATTGGGAAACCATTTTTCAATATAATTTAAGACAATTGAAGGATCCCATGTATCATTATACTTTGGTCTACAAGGCTTGAGACGAAAGACACCTTTAAAAAATCTTTTAATGAGGTTATCTGTATCCAAACTGGAATCAATCATCAAAGAGAGTGCAGAACGATAAGTATTCAAAGTGGTATATTAAGCTCCACTTTCATAAATTTGTGTTAGAAATGCTAAGACCTTAGGTACTGATAGTTCATATATGTCTTAACCCTGGCAATAAAGCCACCATTTTCTTAAGGCTACTGTATATTGTTTAACCTTATTATGAGATAAGGATGATATCATAACTTCGATAATCCCGGATCGTCAAAATGCATTTTTAAGCGCGAAATAAAATATCCTGAAAGAGTTCTCAATCACACCAAGGGTATACTACTATCGATTATGTTTGCAGCGGCAGCAGATGGAATACTCTAGCCAACTTATACTCTTTATAAAGCACAGCATTTGTGGACGTTATGGTGTCAAAATGGGCCAAATGGTAGCAGATATAATCGAACTAAATCCGGCTGGTTCGATTCCACTGTTTTTGAAGATTGGTTCCAGACAATCGTTATACCTTGGGCTGAAAAGCTACAAGGCCCCAAAGTGGTTATTGGTGAGTGGTTATTGGTGATAACCTTTCTAGCCATTTAAGCGTGAATATAATACGCCTATGTGAAGAAAAAAATATAAGGTTCACATTTCTGCCTCCTAATTCTACGCACATTACACAACCTTAAGATGTCGCATTTTTTGGTCCACTTAAAAAAAAATGGAGTCAGATTTTAACTACCTACAAATATGAAAATCCATCAGAATTTTTTCTGATGGAATAATGTGAAATGAGTTTTACTTAAATCTCTCATAGATGCAATAAACGTGACAAGGACGGAAAATGTAATTTCTGGGTTTAAGGCTACAGAAATAGTCCCTTTTACCTGATTTTTTTTTAAGGAAACTTCCTGAATGTGATGAAGAAAATAAATATAAAGTAGACACCGCACTTTTGGATTATCTAAAAGCTAACCGGTCTGTAAATCCTTTTAAGAAAACTATAAATAAAAAAAGTCAGTATTGTTGAACCCGGTGCATCATTTTCTTCTGAAGAAATAGAAAACTTGATGTCAAAGAAACCAATGAAAGAAAGAAAATAGAATAAAAAAGGTCTAATAAAGAAACTGAAGGCTGAGGCTCTGAATCATGCTACATCTGGATTAGAATGCGAATTTCAAAACCAGTACCTTCACCAGAACCTATTATGAATCAAACACCAAAATTCGACTCCAAATCTAAGTTAAAGTAACTATTTATTATATCTGAAATAAAATTCAGTCTATATAATCGTGCTTACACTGATTTGAAAAAAAGTAATTTGCAATTGTATGTATTGTGATAAAACTCACGATATATATTCATCATTATCACACACACCGAAACGGTCTTATTTCAAACCAGAAATTGATTTAATATTATTTGACTATTACAACCCGGTCAACCCGGTAGCATCGACTTCCACGGGGAAAGTTGATTTGACTTTATTTAGATAACTAATGATATTAGTATCAGAAAGAGAAAACTTGGTAAAAAAAATTCTCATAATAAAAAAAAATTTTTAGAAGAAGAGACTGATGAGGGCAGTGATGATGAGTATTCATTAAGAGAGTCTTCTGATGATGGAACTTTTATTTCTACATTAGAAGAAAGCGATACAGTAAAGGAATTAAAAACGCATAATTTAGAAAAAAACAACACAAAGTTCTTCCGAAAATATGGTAGAGAAACAAATTAACAGTTTCCTTCTCGTTAGATTTAGAGGACATAAAACGAATAAGTTTTATGTTGGGAGGATTTTAGAGTTAACGGAAAATTCGGGAATGCTGGTTAAATTTATGAGAAGAAGGAATGCGGACCTTTTTTATTGGCCTGACGTGAATGATGTTAGTTTTATTCTGGAATCCGATGTGGAGTTGGTCTTAACAAACCCCCGAGAGGGTCGCCGGGAAACATTTAAGTTTGAGTATATTGATTACTCAAAGTACAATGTCCAATAAATGAGTCATATAGAAGAAATATTCATAAGGACATTCTGATGGCTCGGAATTTAACAATAAGTTCAAAACTAACATAATGAAACATTGAACCTTTGTTCAACTTGTTATCATAAATTATTCATAAGGGGGCGTCCATAACTTACGTGAGGTGTTTTTTTAATTTTTCTGTACCTCCCTCCCCTTTTCTATCAGCATCTTTTCTCTAAATTATCACGTACACTTGTGCAATAGAGATCATACGGCGTGCTGATGAAGGCATTGAGCGGTTGAATCGGTAGGCAGTGGCGTATTAGAAATGGAGCAAATGACTGTCCGTTATGCTCTTTAACACGTTCACTGCGGACAGAAATTTGACCATCTACAAATGTATGCGTTACGAGATAGAATTCATCTCGTTCTGGAATTTACACTGTTGCGGTACGAGGCGTGAAGCATCTCGTACCCTATGTCTGTTTAAAATGAAATTTACATTTAAAAATTTCAATCGAAAGATTTACCTTTAAGTCATATGTGTTTTAGCTCGCTCAAAGATTACCACAACATTTTCATAGAAAACAAAGAAAAGCTTTTACGTGATGTTATAAGCCCCGTACCGCACTGAATTATTTAGTATCGATAAAAAAATAGGGATGTAACTGAAACTGCGTAATAATTATGGTCAAATTTTAATAAGAAAAAAAAACTAAAAATCTAATTAAAAAATAATGAATGCTTTTCATTGTAACACTTTAAACAAAGTGCTTTATTACATTTTTGACAATAGCCTTTAATCTTCTTTGTCTTCTTATCAGCTTCTCGACTTAAAAATTGATTTCTAAGCTTTCCATAGCAACCAGTACATCTCTTATTCTTTGCACCTATCACATATTCATGTTGATCATTTACATCATTCCACTGTTTATTTTCAATCCCTTGCATTGAAATTCCAGTAAAATTCTCTATTACACTTTCAACAAAATGTTTCTTCGATATTTTTTTATTATTGCTTTTTGTATTAAAAATAATCCAAGCGTTAGTCAATACTGTGCCAAAAAGTATTTCCATCATGAGTTTACGGTACCATTTCAATCCTCTTTTTAACGTGCTGTAATATGCTAACATTTGGTCACTGAAATCAATGCCTTTTTATTATAATCAAAAATACACCTTGGCTTTTTAATACATTGTAAATTTCCTCGCCGAATTTTAAGCTGAGTGTGTAGCTTTGCATTATGGTTCGTACATGTGGATATCATTAATACTTGTCTTTTATCGGACCATTTGATTATTCTTACGCCTTTATATTCATTTTCCCAATTACTTCACCTTTTTTTATTTTTTTTTGCTATAATAGTTTTTGGCAGTCCTCTTCTATTTGCTCGTAAAGTTCCACATAAAAATGTTTTCTTGTCGATTAGTTCTTCAGCTACATCTATAGAATTGTAAAAATTATCAGCAATTACTATTTTTCCTTAATACTCTAGATCTTTAATTAATCTGCTCACTGTTTTCTGACCATGATTGATTTCTCGGCCACCGTCTCCTTTTCCTGTGTAAACTATGATATTATAAGTGTAACCATCAGGAGTGCATAACTTGTTTAGTTTAACACCATAACTATGTGTATTTTTAATATAATTATTGTCTAAACTGCAATCGACCACGCCAAGGCACCATACTTTCATCTATAACAAGAATTTTGCCAGGTTGTAAAACTTTTTTGAATTCAGCTACAATCATTTCAAATACATCCCGAATCTTGTGTAATTTATCAGAACTTATTCCTTGTTCATTTTGCTTACTAAAGTGCCAAAATTTTAGAATCATCCGGAATCTGTCCTTCTTAATCACACGCACGATATATTCGTTTCTGTACATTGGATTTTTATACCAGTAATCGTTAATATTTGGCAGTTTCACCAGTCCCATAACTAACAGTACACCGAGAAATTTAAGCATTTCCTGCCGGTTTATAGACTTCCATTATTTAAATCTTGATTTAGCTTTAAGATGTGATTGTTCTATGAATTTTTCGACATAAATATTCGTTTCTAATACCATCTTGTCCAGTATTTCGTCTGTGATAAAGAGCCTGTAAAACTGTTTGGGGGATGTTATATTTTCAGGAATGTTAATTTTACATTGGTCCACGAATTCTTCAAAATCTGGTTTTGTATCTTCAATGTCATATATATATACATATTCAATAGACATACACACAACATATATATATACTGTCCAAAATATATACCATATATTATAAAGAAACCAACAGTATTTATAATGTCAGATAAAAATCCTTCACTAGCTTTTTGAAAGCGGGCAAGGTTTTAGCTTGTCGGATTGTCAAAGGCAAGTTGTTCCAAAGTGTTACTGCTTGCACCGTAAAAGATTTGTCAGCAAACTGGGTGGAATGTTGCGGCATTTTTAGTTTTAAATTCTCCGATGACCTTAGGTCCCTGCAATGTGTGTTGTGTAAGAACTGAAAACGTTCTTTGAGATAAGAGGGTGTGCGAGGATGAATCAGAACACTGTATAAAAGAGAAAGAATATGAAGATTCCGGCGAAAGCGTATTGGTAGCCACTTGAGTTTAAAATGATACTCTGAGATGTGATCATATTAGCGTAATCCAAATATGAATCTAATACATAGGTTTTGGAGTCGCTCAATTTTATTCAGTTGGTCTTCGGTGAGATCCAGATAGCTGACATCGCCATAGTCAAGGATAGGAAGAAGAAGAGATTGTACGAGCGCAATTTTAGTATAGGTGGGAAGGAAGTTCCGTAGCCTTCGCAGAGATCCTGCCGCTGCAAATAGTTTTCGGCTAACTTCTCCAACCTGGGGGCCCCAGGCTAGGTACCTATCCATGTGGATCCCCAAGTTTTTTACCTTTTCACTGTAAGGTACAACCGAGCCATTGCAACAAAGAAATGGTATTTGCTGAAAGTTTATTTTACCTTGTAGCCTGGGACATCATAAACCCTTATTAGGTTGTATATTACTGTTAATTACTCCTATGATTTTAAAAGTTGATAAATAACTGGACAGGATTCGATTATCTTTAAATTCTTCATTAATCTGGCCCTCATTGGTCTGGATTTATCTGGCTCATAAGACCAGATGAGTTTGAACGAGGCAGATGAATTAGATTTCTATCTCTGACCAACTAAGTTGCGTGAAATCAAAATGTTTTTTGATTTCTCGCAACATAATTAGTTGAGGGCTTGTTGAGGGCATCGCTTACTCTACTGACAATGACCAGTTTAGTCTCTATTTTCTTAACATAAACAGACTATAGTTCCTGTATACTAGTTTTTCTTTTCAGAACTTTATTTTGAAATGGCGAAACCAAAGTGTGCGTCCACACTGAATGCGCGGTGACTGGAGCCTGAGGCGGGCGCTGCGAGCGGGGGCGTGCAGTGGCCACAGTGACGCGCGAGCTTTTGTAGCGGTTCGACGTATATCATCAGGTGTTGCAAACTATGGATGAGGATTTGCTATTTTTACTAGACAGTCCGATCCTGAGATGGGAGTTGTTGAACACTAGAGATGGTGTGCACGAAATAAATAAAAACAGAGAAATAACTGGTGAATTTTTTAACTTATATGAGGAATTGAGATTATACCCTACAAAATTCTTGGAGTACACTCAAATGCCCGTGTCAACATTTGACTACATACTAAGTAAAATATCACCCAAAATCACCAAAGAAGATACTAATATTCGCAAAAGTATTAAACCTGAGGAGAAATTGTTCATAACTCTGAGGTAAGATATATAAGGACATAAAACAAGATTTTACTATAAGTTTTGTATTTATATGTATGTAGATAAGTAGTATTCAAACAAGTAGGTAAGTAAAAAGTTGTAATAATCAAATTAATAATTAGGGTAGTTGCCAGACGAATATCCTCCATAATTTTCCTCGTATCTCGGTTGAGAAAACTGCATCCTTTCGGCCTCGTCTATTATGACTTGGGTAATTTTATTTCGAATGCGTAACATTTGTAATATACCAAATTTTTTCATTTGTGGCAGGAGACTCATAAAAATTTGATAATCGTCACATTTCTCCGACTGGTTACTATTGGATGCCATTTTCTGTTCAATTAGCAGTTTTTTTTTTCTTTCACATTCTATAAGTTCATCTCTATAATCTGATGCCGTTTTGTTGCGCTTTGACGCGTTTGTGCGACTGCTGCAGGTTGATGTACATGGACTCATCACTTCAGCGATGTTAGATTGCTCAGTTTGCCAAGACTCGGGATTCCGAATCACTGTCATGCAGATTTCCCGTCATCACTTTGTAGCCGCTTTTCTTCTCAGGCGGACTACTCACCGGCTGACCCAGTGGAGAGATTCAAGAGATTACCTCAGGGCGCCTTGTATGAGAATAGAAGTGTGTGCGTGTGGGAAACCTATGGGACTCTTTAGAGGAAAACAACTTACACCTCAGTTATACATACATGTATATTTCAAAAAAAAAGTAGATCAAATTTACAATAAGAAATTAAATAAATTAATCAGTGTGGGTACAAGAAAAAGAAAAAAAACTGCAGCGGAGCGCGTTAGAGCCGAGCTGATGGTGCTCGGTGCCTCCTCGTCGTCCCTCCAGGAGGTTACTTCCTCTTCCGCCCGAGTCGGCTATTTATATTAGATATGGATAAAAGTTTAACAATTTGCAATTATAAGTTTAAGTACGTAACTCTTGGGTACGGCTGTCCGCTTGCGTCGTGAGCCACGCAATCACCAGCTTTGCCAGAGGGTACCGAGAAACTTGAGTCTGTACCAGAAGGCCACAAAAGAGCAAGCACGCCGTCTGAGACTGACCGTCTTGACCCCGAAATCTGGGACCCTACGAATGGATTAGCACTCATATAATTAAACAGGTTCCAGAAACAAATAGGTTTAAGTAGAATTAAGACCATACTCACCACTTTAGTGGGTAGATTTAAACAGACTACATATTACGAAATTCAAATTACACGACAATCAAAACACTATTTAAGGTTGGAAGACACGAGATAGCAGAGTGTCTCTCGTGGTAGAAAGCCGGACTTATATATCCTCGGTTCAGGAATCTTCCAGAAATTAACCCTTCCTCATCATTTCACTTTGACATTTAAATTGAGAAAGAAAACAACGCTAACAAAATCAAAAGTAACTTGCTTTCCACCATAGCTGAACACTCTCAACACCTACACAATTTGACATGACAGATTACCAGAACAGATTAAAAAAGTAAGTCTTTTTAACAATCTATTATGTCTCAAACAAACGCCATCTAGTGGACCGAAAGTGAACGAAAAAGATCAATACCGTAGCTACAAACTACTTTAGATAAATCAACAACAAAGCGATGCGGCCAACAGGTGTCGCTTTTATCAATACCGTACGCATCACAAATGCACAAAAAAAATAACTGTTACAACTTCAGATGTAATGTCATCATTTATAAAAAGCTGAAGTTGAAAGTATGGCCATGTACTCTCTATTTCATCACCACCGTCACCAGAGCGCGGCGTAGGGAATTTCTTTTTTTCCATTCGAAACTGATCGCGCAGGTTTTCCACTTCTTAAGTAGTTGTTTTTCTGTAACAATAAAATAATACAGTATTCCACTTTTTTATTTCAGGTTTTTGTCAACAGGAACTGTATTTAGAGCACTGGCTTACAGTTTTCGTATGGGGCAAAGCACCATTGCGTCTATAGTGCACGAAACATGCCGTGTTTTATGGTATGAGTTAGTTCCTATTCACATGCCGATGCCAACAGAACAACGCCTGAAAGCTATTGCAGAAGACTTTGAAGCTACCTGGAATTTCCCACACTGCATCGGAGCAATTGATGGGAAACATTGTGAAATAAAAAAAACACCTAAATCTGGTTCGGCACATTGGTGCTATAAAAAAAAAAATAGCAAAAAGAAAATTTGTAGCAGTCGAAGTAGGCGGTCGAGGAAAGCAAAGTGATGGTGGTACTTTTATTGCATCAACACTGTATAAGCTTATAGAAAAAAAAAAAAAAGAGACTTACAAATTCTGACATCATTGCACCCTACGTCCTAGTGGGTGATGAAGCTTATCCGTTAAAACATTATTTGATGCGTCCTTATCCCGAGCGAGTACTTAATAATGAAACAAAAAGGTTTTAATATCAGATTGTCTACCGCAAGACAAACAATCGAAAGCGCATTTGGCATTTTAACATGTAAATGGAGAATACTACTTAAACCTATAGAAACAAACAGAAAAAATGCTTTGTCTATAATAAAAGCTGCGTGTATACTGCACAATGTCATAATGGATTTAAACGGCGATCTCGATCTGGATGTCATACGTGTACTATCTAACCCGCCATTATATGAAAATCTTCACAGAAACAGCGGAGTCAATAATAATAATCCATCACGAAGAGCAAAAAATGTTCGTATAAATTCACAAACTATTTCTGGGAACAATATCAAAGAATGTAATAACTATACTTGTAGGTATATTATATTATACTTACCTTCACTTCCAGGAAATTGTTTTTTTATTTCACTCCATAACTTTCTTGTTATTGTGCGATTACTGTGGTGTGGATGTTTACTTTGCCATATAGGTGGTTTAGATTGAATCGCACTTATAAACAATTCAGTATTTACCGCCATTTTCCGTCTAACAGATACAGACGCGCATACGCCGAGCGACAAGACCGAACTGGTTTGTTACCCCCGCCACCCGCGCATTGGGTCGCTCGCTGACTAGGCCCGTAGTGCGGCCAGAACGCGCGGACAGGAGCGTTTGAAAACTACGCACGCTGTCTCGCTCAGTCCCGTCGCACTAGGCTTCCGCCTTAGTCACTACAATATGGACGCAAAGGCGCGTTTCATATGTTTGATACTTCGCGCCTGTCGTCGCAACTGTGCTAGGCTCGCAGTGTGGACGCACACAAAGACGCAGACAAGAGAAGAAAGACTTAGAAAAAAGAGGCTTGCAAAGAGAAAAAGATACGAAAGAATAAAAAATAATGATGATTTATGGAAAGAAAAACAAGAAAAGAATAAACAAAACTATATTAGAAGAAAAGAAAAAAAGAAACAATTATCGCTTAAGGAAATGACTCAAAAACATTAAAGGTTACAGAGAAAAAATTACAAGTCATATTACCTAAGAAAAAAGCAAGAAAAAAGAACGGCGCAGCTGTTTGCACAATATACACCACCTCAAAGTCCCAGCATCTTGTCAGACACTGAAATGCTAGTAGCTTCACAAGATAACATTCGAGATGCATCACCTTCAGAAAACTCAATTTTAAACAAAGAACCGGATTCACCTGTACCAGGACCATCTAGAATTTCACGCAGTATGTCTCAACAGAGCAACTCAACAAGCTTAGTAAGACGTCTGTGTTACAAAAAAGATAAAGTAATACAGAAACTAAAACAAATAATGACAAACTTAAAGCGACAAAATGAATGGCTTCGGAAAAAACTACAAATAATGATAAACAAAAAGGAATGCTTCCTAACTTCAGATAATAATAAAAATAAAATAATCCCTAATAAAAATAAAATGATCACTAATAAAAATAAAACTATCCCTAATCAAAGTTTATCTTTGCCTGAACTTCTGAAAAAAGAAGTTGAAACTTTTTATTAAGACGATGAAAATAGTCGCTTATGCTCCGGAAAAAAGGATTTTTTAGTAAGAAATAAAATTCGTAAACAAAATCGGTACCTCAGTGACAATCTTATCAATCTCCATAAAAAAAATCTAAAATTATCAAACTTAACAATAGCCTATTCAACTTTTTGCAAATTAAGACCCTTTTGGGTCCTAATACCAGATTCTCGATAGAGAGACTTGTTTATGCAAACTACATACGAATATGGATTTAATAGTTCAAGGATTATACCAGAGAAAAATAATTCGAGTTAAGACGTCATTGCGTCCGAGATCTTCTCTCTTTGCTATGTTGCAACGTATATGATGTGGATTGCTTGCAACGAACGTGCTTATCGTGTCAGAATAAGGTAGTTTGTTGTTGATTGAAGATGGAAATCAAAAGAATAATCAAACAAGTAACACGCCAATATATAAAAGAAAAGGGATAAGATCGTCAGAGAAAGAGAGGACCAGAATTGAAAAAGAATCAAAACGAAAGATTAACCGAATTTCGCCAGGACAAAAACAAAAGCTAATGGGCAAGATAGTTCAAGAAAATGAAAATAAAGTGCGAAAAACCCCAAAGAAAAACTTATTACGAGAGAATAACAAACCAATCGAACAAAAAAAGACAATAACAGAGCAAAGCAGTAACACAAATCAAGATAATGAAAATGAAGAATTTAATATTTTCGATATACCCAATAAACCAAACTTTCTTAAATCTTTAGGACTAAATAATAGTGATGGAAAACAATTTACCATATCAGAAGCAAATGAAGAAAAAGTACTCAGGAAGAATTAAGCAGAATAAAATTTGGAATCGGCACAATGTCTTGACTTGAGAAATAACATTTCCAAGAGACGGTAGTAAAAAAATTAGTATCGATTTAGATAATCTTGCTCCATGCCTAACGAGGGAGGTTTGCCCATTCCTATCACTCCCATCCTAATCCGTGTAGCTTTTTTTCTGCACAAATCATAACGCAATATCATCAAGTTCACAACTTGTCATTATTAGCCAGTTTTCAAATTGTTTTCATAACCCCATAAAAATTTCAATAATTATAATTTAAAATTTGTAACTTTAGAACTATTTTAAGGATTGAACGTTTTTAAAATTATCTTAAATCTGAAACTTCTAGAACTACCTTCTTATCTAGAATTCGTAACGTAATTTGGTTTCTATCCATTTTTTTTTTTTTTTTTTTTTTTTTTTCTATTGCAATCTATCAATTCTGCAGATATTCAGCAATATGTGTAAGATTTTATTGCTAAGGGCTTGCACAGAAGCCGTCCAGTGACTGCTCCGTTTACTCTTGTGCTTCAGAGAAGGTCTTGAGGAATCTTTCTTTTTAGTCTACGAGCAACTGTTTGGGTGTTCATTAGATTGACTGCCAGCATATTTGGATGGTTAGTGATTCGCTTCTTGTACACTTTTGTCCTTTCCGAGATTTCTTCCATAACAGTTTTGACGCAGAGGTCGTGATGGAGTCTAATGTTTGATACATACCAAGGTGCGTTCGTTATTATTCTTAGTATTTTTGACTGGAATCTCTGTATTATTTCAATGTTTGACTTTGCTGCTGTTCCCCAGAGTTGTAGGCCATATGTCCATATGGGTTTTATTATGCATTTATACAGCAATAGTTTGTTTTGAAGTGAGAGTCGTGATTCTTTATTTAGTAGCCAATACATAGTGCGCAACTGTTGGCCCATAGCTAATCGTTTTGTGAAAATATGTTTCTTCCAGGTTAGGCGTCTATCTAAGTATATTCCAAGATACTTGGCGTGATCCTCTTGCGGTAGAAGTATGCCGTTGAGAGTGACGGGTGGACATGTTTCTTTCCTGTTTGTGAAAGTAACCTGGACAGATTTGGTTTCGTTGGCTTTGATTCGCCAGTCTTTGAGCCATTTGGATACTTGTTCGAGACTGTTCTGAAGCTTTTGTGCTGCAATATCTGGTGAATTGTCCATTGATAGGATTGCTGTGTCATCAGCAAATGTTCCAGTAACTACTCCATTAGTCGTAGGGAGATCAGCTGTAAAAAGCAGATACAACGTGGGACCCATTACGCTGCCTAGCGGAACTCCAGCTTTGATAGCATACAAAGACGTAAACTCTTCTCCTTGTTTTACAAAAAAGTGTCTGTCGCTTAGATATGACTTTATAAGGTTGTAAAAGTTTATAGGAAGGTCTTTTTTTATTTTGAAAAGAAGTCCGTCATGCCACACTCGATCAAATGCCTGAGATATATCCAGGAACGCTGCGACACTGTATTGTTTTGATTCAAGGGCTTTGTTTATATATTCCACTAGTCTGTGTACTTGTTCAATAGTACCATGCTTTCGACGAAAACCAAACTGATGGTCAGGTAGTAATTTGTTTGCGGCAATAATCGGAGATAATCTAAGTAAAATAACTATCTCCATGATTTTTGAGGGTATGGGTAACAGCCTAATAGGTCTGTATGATTGCGCCTCAACTGGATTTTTTCCAGGCTTAGGAACCATTATAACTTGGGCTATTTTCCATTGAGGAGGGACCATTCCTCTTCGCAGGATGGCGTTATACAGGAAAGTGAGATATTTAACCCCTGACTTTGGCAGCTCCCTTAGAATTTTTCCTGTTATAAGGTCGTAACCAGGAGCTTTATTTGGATCTAAAGCCTTGATTGCTGTTTTTACTTCTTTATAAGTGAGCTTATTAATGGGAGGATCGAGTTGATGGGTTTGATCCAGTAATTCTGTGACTTCTTGAATTTTAGAAGAGCCTGTATCTGGATTTGGTATAAAGACCTGTTTGAGATGTTCAGCAAATGTAGCAGCTTTGTCTGCATCGCTAGCAGCCGATTCTAAGTTACTTTTACGGATAGGAGGTTGATTACTTGCTGGGCGTTTAAGCTTTTTAGTGACTTTCCACAAAGAGTAATTTGTTTCTGCAGTAGTATCAAGGTTTTCTAGAAATGTTTGCATGGCTTGGTTTTTATTGTTTTTTAGCAGAATTTTTAGTTTTGTTTGAAGATAATTTAGATGTTTTTTGTCAGTAGGATAACCTGTTGTTTGCCACTTTTTCCGAGCTTTTCGTTTATCAGCTAGTAATTCTCTTACAGATGTTGGGTAATCTTGTTTATGATATGAGTCTGCGGCAACTGGGGTAGCAGACCAGGCAGATTGTTGGACGCAGTTATTGAAATGTTCAACCGCTTCTGTTATGTTGTCGTCCGTTTTTAAAGGAATTTTTAAGTCTAATTTTTCTGTCAATAACTGTCTGAAGAGCTCCCAGTTAGTTTTATTAGAGTGTAACTTACAGGGTTTAGGTACTACTGTAATTTTCCTTTTTAGTACTATTTCTACCGGGGAATGATCGGAGGATAGTTCGATGCTCGTTTTACTTGTTATAAAGTTGTTAGGAATGCCCTTTGTAATAAAGAAGTCAAGCAAGTCTGGTACTTTATTCAAGTCTGTAGGCCAGTATGTAGGATATCCGGAGGAAATAATATTTAGTTTTAGTTTCTCAATGGCCATTAATAGCTGCCTTCCTTTTGTAGTTATAGTACGTGAGCCCCAGTAGTGGTGTTTGGCATTGTAATCACCTCCAGCTATGAATCTGTGGCCCAATGTCGACAGAAACGTTATGTAGTCTTCTAACTTAAGTTTATGTTTAGGTGGACTGTATACAGCCGAGATTGTAAAAGGTCCCGCCCAGTCTTCAATGACGACATTTGTTGCTTGAATTTCATCTGTGCAGTAATGTACTGTTTCATGATGTTTGATATTATGTCTTATTAGAACTGCACTTCCAGCGTGTGCTTTGCCGTCGGGGTGTATTGTATGATAGGTTTTATAGTTCTGGATGGTAAAGTGGCTCTTTTTGGTAAAATGTGTTTCTGTAACTAAGAGGATATCTATCTTTTGTGTTTCTAAGTATGCCTGAACCTCAAGGGTATGTTGTGACAGCCCATTGGCATTCCATAGGGCAATTTTTAAGCAATCGAATTTG